TAAGAAGTCGATAGACTTACGTCATGCTTTACATTGCTTGAATTAAGATAACAAATGTACAAAGCGGCTAGTCTCGACCGTCTTACGTATGCATCGCTAAGAGATAAGTGGATAGGGTCGCGAGTTTGACGTTTAAAGTGTTAATAATAAAAAGAATAGACACATTTAACTCCTACAAAAGAGAAGCTTTGTAGCACCGTTCAACATCGAGAGGATATTATTATTAATTTTTCATAATAAAAATCTGTTTAAAAAACTTTACTTCTCTCGAGAAATACCGGGAATTCTCGCGGGAAAAACGTCATAAATGATCGAAATTGAGATGGACGGAAGATCATTCACGGGGTTATTTCGCATAGTCAACGCGTGAGAAAAGAATGAAGTGCTGCGAAGCGAGCATAATTATAAGCACTCAGGCTGATTTGCGTCGACAATTTGGATTAGCTTGATAATAAGTTAGTGACTATTTCCACACTTAGATTATAATTTCTCTGCAAAAAAAAAATAAACAATATCAAATCGCATCAGTGCAATTTTTATTCCGAAAGGATTTAAGTTTTCAGAGATTTAATGGGGTACAGTCCACTTAATGCTATAAATGTTTCGAAGCATTTGATTGACTAATTAGAAGAATAAATTTTATTTGATAATTGATCAATTAAAGAATGCTTCAAAGCATTTGTAACTTCAAATAGACCATTGAAATAATTATAGAATCTAAGTGTTTCGCGGTTATCTCGATATCTATAATCTTGGAATGCCAATATTTCGTTGCAGTTCACATTATCTTTCTTCAAAAAGTATTATCAAAATAATTATGTAGGTCATTCAAACTGGTTGCTAAAATGTCAAAATCTTTTAGCATTACTCGTTGAAAATCCTATATAATTGTTTTAATGGTTCAACAAAATTATTTTAAGATCTGTAGATTTTCAAATCATTGTGATCACATGTCAAAGAAGTAATGGTAACTCAATCCTTTGAGTTAAATAACATTTTGTTATTTTTGACTTCCATATGTATTCAAAATATAACATAAATATAATATAACCAAAATGTAATGTAAACCCCACTTCTATAGTTAATTTTAAAATAAATAATGTCCATATACATACATATATATTAAGTACACACTTAGTGATAAACTAAATTTGAATCAAATTTAATACATTTTCTTGAATTAAATTGTTCAATTTCATTGTTTTAATTAAATTAACGACATATTAAGTAGGAACATTGGCGACCTATAAAAAAAAAAAAAACTCAAATTAGATGTAATTTAACATTATGAATTTAATAGTGACAAATTTGGAAATACTTCAAAATTGTTCTTTCCATATGTGAGTGTCAAATGGAATACAGGGCGAGAAAGACAAGAATCTCCTTTGCGTCAGTCACGGATGTCCTGGAGCCGCAAGAACATCGATACCAAGAAGAAGGTCAAGAGAATCTGCGAAAATTATGCGATCGTCATCGATCGCATAATTTTCGCAGATTCTTGGGTCGATCAGCGGTTTTTAGCCACGTTCGTTTGACGGACGCGCGCGAGGCATGTTCGTTGAAAAACGCAGCTGGAGGGAGGCGTGCTAAGTCAAGGATACCACTGATACAAAGTCCGAGTTTATAAAACGGGGACGTACCTACTCCAAAACCCAGTTTTCCAGACGAGGGCGCGCGATCGGTAACCGCTTCCCACGGAAGCGAAGTGTCCTTCTCAATCCTCCGGATCTTGCCGGTTGTCCAATCTACATCACGGGGACCAGATCGTGATCGATCGTGTTAGAGAGAAAAGAAAAAGAAGATAGTGAGTCAAAATTTTTCAGTTTCACAGCGACCACGGATAATACGCTGATACCGGATTATCGTGTCGCCAAAAAATTCCCGACGATAACTTTTCACGCGATCCCGGTTATTAATCAGTTAATTTGGATCAAAGAAAGACACATTTGTTCATTCCGATAAACAGTAAATGTCGTAAGAAGCCAGTTATTGAATCTGTTATCTGGTGCTCGCACCTCTTGGGGTGATACGCATTCGGCGAATTTAACAGATTTGTGTTTAAAAAAAGAAGAAAAAAGATGATGACGCAAGAAGAAATCTCATCCAGCATGATTATATAGTTCAACGCGATGTAGAATGCTCGTCGTTTAGCTTCGTGTTTCCTAGTGCATCTTTGCATGCTCCACTCAATATTCGTCACTCTGAGCAACTGCTGCGAGGAAGCACCGAAGTGTTAAACGGAAAAAGAAACTTTCTTGCATTACATTATTTTTTTTGTCAACTTTCAACTTCCTAGACATTATTATGTATAAGATCCGTGTTTACCCAGGCAGCGATTCCTCGCTGACACGAGACAGCGGATCCGAGAGCACGCCGTTACTCTCTTCAGAATCTCGCACGAGTCCGGAACTGGTGATATTCGACGATTCGGACACAAGCGACTTAGATCCAAGCCCGGCCAGCTGCTCTTTGATGTAAGATGTGTATGAAATGCATCTGCGAGAGGGAGATGTATTGTATTTTTCCATATAATTAATAATGTACATGGAAAAAATAATATTGTATTAACAGCATTAACCAACAGCAATCTAATTGAAAATAATCTTATTTATTCAAAATAAGTATTAATGAAACAAATAACATTGTATTAACTCTTTTAAATCCTATGTACATCAAATTTAAAGACATTATCCGTTGAAATTATTTAATTCTATCAATATCATCTGAATCTGACATCGACATATAATAATGTATATTCTGGAAAGTCAAAATTTTGAAAAAAAATTGTGTAATATGAACTACTTATTAAAACACGCATGAATTAAATTTAAAAAAATTTTTTTAGCACGGTTTCAATAAAATTGGATTTAAAAAGATTAAAGCAAGAATATGACGTATTTATTTTATTAATATTACCATTGAATGAATGGGATTATTTTTAATCAGACTGCTGTTGGCTAATGCTGTTAACATTTTTACGTATATAAATTAAAAACGTGGATAATAATAGATTTAATATTAATAATGGATATAATAATGTAGATATGTAGTAACATGTATCTATCATATTTATATTATTTATAAAAGATCTGCAGAAATTATAAGTATGTATTTTCTGTTGTCTTATCTAGATACGGAAGCATAGACTCCAGTTACAACACGATTTTAGCTACACCAAAGAGGCCAATTCCTTCAACGAAAAATAGTGAATTATTCATTTCCACAATGGCAAATTCACCTTGCACAGTAAGCGAAAAAAATTACGAGCCGCGCAATGTAAACTTGGTAAGAATAATATAACTGTTTGTGTATTTTTTTTCTTCATAACATGGATTATGAAAATCAGCTTTTTAAAAAAAAACATGTTTCAACATGTAGCAATATTTAAGTGATGAATTGTTAAAAAAATGATTATGGTATTTCATGTTTTTTATTAAATTTAATATTGCACTTGTTTTTATTTAATTTAATTTATTGTGTATTTATAAAATACATTGAGATATAAATACAAATTAAGCTTTATAATAAACAAATTTAATTTTTCCTCCATTTTCTTTTTTTCTTCAAAAACAAAAATAACAAGTTCATTTATTTAATTTCTACATTGATGTTAATTAAAATAAATAGCGAATCAAATCAATTTTAGTGAAGAAAATAATTTATAAATGTCAAAACTGCTAAAACTTCTTAAAAATTTGAAAATTCATTACATGTTCATATATATGAAATATGATAAAAAATAAAAATGTTAATATATGTACATTTACTTGAATGGTAAATGCATTAATGCAGATAATACAAGATTTCCTTTAATTTTATGTATCACTTTTCTGTTTTTTTATTGCTAGACATTGATGAACGAAAATTCCAATACAAAGAAAGTGCACGAGATAGACTTTGTGCCTGGACCTCTGCAATTTCAACCCGATATCATACAGGCTTCTTGTAAAGATCTCAAACCGAAGCAAAGTTCACTGGTCACTATGTAAGTGTCTTGAAATAAAATCTGTGAATAGAAAAAGTTTAATAAGAATTTGTGAATATGATAAAATAGGAGGATGGAGCATGTCAAATTTTTCGAACTACGCTTATACAGGATATATGCTCTTAATGGACGACCCCCTTAAAATCAATGAGTCACACCGATCGATACCCTTTCCTAGGTTTGTCCTAAATACGCTTTCCTAAGCAAAGATAGCATTCAACAGATTAAGATTAAAATTATCTAATTGATTCGATTCACAGTTCTCAATCTCTAGTGTAGAAAATAGAAATAGATTCATGTAAAAATGTTGCATATTTTTTATAGAAAATCGAAAGAGATTAATTAAATTTATATATCATTTATATATTTCCCTTCTCTTCAAAGATTAAAATATTAAAATTGTAATCGAATCTTGAACTTGTATTGGTGCGCACTTTTGTAACATTAATTCATTAACGTAGGGCGCATCTCTTAACTATAATATATAGAATATTGTTTTAGTATTTTTACAATAATTAGGTATGTGCCGGATATCTGGTAACTGTTTAATTAATTTGACCGGATAGTCAAATTTATTCAAACAAATTTTACAAATGCAATGAATAAATAATATATATCTTTTATGTTAATATAACTTATAAAATCATTTTATATTAACTTATATTGCGTAGGTATACTAATAAATATAATAATATATAAAATAAAAATATAATAATATATAATATTGATGCAAAACAAGAGCAAAAAACAAGAGCAGTAATATAAACGCGAAAGACGCATTCAATGAGCAAGGCATCAGCAGTAATATTAATCTAAAAACTTAAATCCGAAGCAGAAATAAAAATAAGAATGAAAATAAATAGAATTTGGTAATAGATATGCAGATAAGCAGATGAGCGGAATAAGAAACAGAATATAAATATAAATTCAATAACTGATGTGCAGATAAGCAGCATAAGAAACACAACATTTATTCTATTTTTACAAAAATAGAACGTATGCAAAAAGAAGCAAAAAGATATACAGTAATGATAATAATAATTGTACTAAAGATAATTATGGCAAATTTGTACTAATAAATATTTGTACTAATAAGTATTTGTACTAATAAATATTTAGTTAGGTTGTCCATAGATCACGTGAATATTTACGTGAGAAATGATAGATTTTTAAAACATCATGTGAGATCAAGATATTTCATATGTGACTAATTTAACTAAATAATAGTAATATATTTATTACCGTTTGATTATTGTTTAACATGTATATGATGTAATATACATGTATAATTTAAAAAATTTTTTAATCAAAATCATCTTTTGCGTTTATTATTTGCTATATGTTTTCTGCTACATATTTCATATTTTCAGAAGAAACATACAATATTTCTGTATTACTTGAGTGTATTACTTGAGTTTATTTTCTACATTAGAGATTGAGAACTAATGTTGTAATTGAATTGGAGTGAATTGAAATATTTGTTTTACTCTAATTAGTTGAATTCTAATCTCCAATTCGCAATCTTTTTACTTTAGTAAAAAAAACAGTTACATTTACTTTTCCAATCTCTTCGTGTAATTAAAGTTAAATAAAATCCGGTTATTCGACAAATTCACTATTCGGCACACACATCCCTAATAATAATAATAATACAACTTTCCAAAAAAATAATTTTCGATATTACTAATTCTTAATTATTTCATCAACATCCATGCATGTTGTTATAACTTTTCCAATAGCAAGTTTCAATACTTATTCTACTTCATGATCGAAAAGAAAGATAAAGAAATATTTCACAAAGGTAAAGAAATATTTTGGAGTGTATTTGCGCCAAGCCGACGATTCGAGAAATCACTTCCTCGCCCATCTTGGCTTTAGTTGACTCTCCAGCGTATAGTGCATGCAAAAGGAGAGTAAAAAAGGGGGTGTTAAGAAGTAAAAAAAATAGAAATCGATGGCGACGCGCTTATCAATGGTAAAATATACTGTTTATCGTGCATCGTTTAACGTGGTGTGTGTTTTGTTTTTCCTTTTTTGCTCAAGCATGTTCTGCAATCGGTACATATGGGGTAAATCTTTCGATACGGTCATTTATCTTACGTAGATGGCTGATGGCAACCGGATCGAAACTTGCATCAGCGCATCTTGAATTGATTCTTTCTTCATCGCATCAGACCGATACGTGTGTACGTGCGTATGCGCGACGTTAGGGGCGAAATCGACAATACTATTATTTTAGAGACGCTATCATGGCGCGCAAATAATCTCGCGTTGCGCGTTAAAAAACGAGCGCCGTCAAGATAAAGCGCGGTATTAATATATAGTAATTCGTAGTTCAGATTTGCAAACGCGCGAAATTAATCCGCACGATTAGATCTGTTTACATTTTTTAATATATTTATGCTTGTTTCCGCTAATAAATTAATTTCTAATCTTAGTACAACTTCTTCTTTATCTATTTTTTTATTTTAATTAGACCCGGTTCTATCAATGTAAGATTAATTTTGATCTTGGTTTAACTTATTTTTTTATCTTCTAATTAGAATTTAAAAAAGATGTAAATTAATCTAAGAGTAAATTAATCCAAGATAAAAGTTAATTCTAATAATAGAAAAATGGGTTTAATTCTCTCAGTAAATTAAAAAAGATTCATTTCAACGTTTGCAAATCCGAATCAATCCGAATTTTAATGCCCAATTTCTTTTTATTCATTTATATTGCATGAAGCACATTTTTTATGTCTTTCAATAAAAAAAAAAAAAGTTCAATTTTTAAAAATAGATCGTGAATCTGCTCAATTCAAAACTAGGAAGTAAAGTTTTTTTTTTAATTTAATCCAAAAAAGTTTTTGTATTTAAAATACGCATTCGAATAGATTAAGAATTTCAATTCATTTTGAACCATTCTCTGATGAGCTTAAAATTAGAAAAAGAAAAAAAGTAAATTGAACCGAGATTAAAGTTAAACTCACATTTCATCACGCATTAGAATCTTCACTTTCTCTCTTTCCCACATTCAAATATATATGTTTATCTCGTTTTAAATGCAAACATTTTTAGGAATTTCACGCAACGTAAACAGATTTATTGCTGACTAGCGTTACGCGTAAAAACAATAGATCTAAAAAATAAACATAGTCCTTAACGCGCAGGTTTTTCCCCTCCCGACTTCCTTTGTCCTCGGAAAAGAAATAGCGCGAAAAAGGTATCTCCCTCTGCGATGAAAATCAAGAGAGAAATCATCTCCGTCTCTTCTTTTTATAGCCGGCGATATAAGGGGAGTCGATCAATGTCGTAACTGTTTTCTCTCGTCAATTATCAGTTAACATAAACAAATCAATGACACTTACGTCTCTCGCGAAATCGACGGGTCAATCACGCCTCTAATCGAATCCACGCGCGAGAGGCAAGACGCTTTATACTCGCACAAAAAAAAGTACGGAACACACCGTCACGTCTTTACATGTGACTGATATAACCTAAATAAATACATGATCGTGCATGACTGACGCCGATGTGAGGGCTTTTTAACGAGCAATATATTCGAAGACACTGGTTTGATAGACTTACCGTTGTAGCCGCCGCGATCTCGTAGGCTTCCCCGTAGATGGAATCGTCGTACATCACGATTCGCGTCCTGACCGTCGGCAACACACGCGCGACTAACGACTATGACTCGCGAAGCTGACCCGCTTCCTCCCGTTCCCGCGTCTGGAAAACGAGCGGATGAGCGACGGTCGTTCTGTTCTCGATTCGCTCGTGTCCGGGCCTTTTCTTAATCTTTGATCCCGAGGCCAGGACTCGGCCGCTCGTTTCCGAGACGCGGGAACGAAGGTGTACGCTCCGCGTCGCGCCGCGCCGCGCGACGACGATCGGAAAGCGGAGCGTCTAAAGCGCGGCGCGACGGGACGCCCCGAAGGGGTTACCGCTCTGTCTGTTGCCCGGGCAACAGACGACCGCCCCGAGAAGGTGAATGCCCTTAGCCGGCAATCCGCCGCCGCCTCCTCCTCCTCCTCCTCTTCCTCCTCCTCCTCGTCCTCCTCCTCCTCCTCCTCCTCCTCCTCCTCTTCCTCCTCCTCCTCGTCCTCCTCCTCCTCCTCCTCCTCCTCCTCCTCTCATCAAGTCACTAGTTACCGCTGGATGAAGCCGGGCGGCGAGCGCGCGCATCAGAGCTGCACTTCTGCCGAGCACCGGCCACTGCCGGATACATCGCAGTATTCTCTCATTCTCTCTGCCATCAATTTGCATGCGAAGCTAATTTTCGTAATGAGAATGAGAATTAAGAAGCGTGCAATGAGATCAGGAAATCGATTGTGTATCTTGAATCGAATTGTTGTTAACAATGAAATATATATACATACATGTATATTATAAATATTAATAAATATTCCAGTAAATTTACTTACTTTTGTAATTACTATTTTGTTTCAAGATATGTACAATTTACTTCTATTACTCCTATATAGGAGCTTGGATTTAACATTAATGTTTTTTTAAAAATTAACACAATGTCATGGCTTATTTCGAGCTATAATTAAATTAACTTTAAATTAATAAACGTTCCAGCTTACAAAACCTTCTTTAGTGCTACAACGCAGAAATATATAATTTTAAATTAACGAATAAAAAATAACGGATACAATGAAAATTTAAAAACCATCAATGGTGAAGTGTCAAAATATAAAAAAATATTTAAAAAATTCGAACGTCAATACGTATCCCGCCAGATGACAATAAGCTAGGAACATTTGGTATTTAATATTTTATGATATTCTGTAGAACAAATAGATTTATTAAGATAATATATTATTAATGTGAAAAAGAGGTATAGAATCAAATAATAACTTACGGTAATTTATATAAAATACTGTAATCTAAAACTCTCAATCAAAAATCCAATATTTAAATACAATAAAGATACTGACTGTTGCTCGTTTGAAAATTAATTGATGTGAAGTAAGGTCAAATAAAAGTAAGTCAATAAAATCGAATGTAAAAACAAGTCTATTCAAAACTATGACCATTTATGTTCTCGTATATCGTCAAGTATATTAAAATAAGAGTTATCTAATAACTCAGTATCTTTCATTAAATTTCAATAGTTTTTTATTCTGTACCTCTTTTTCACTAATAATATATTATCTTAATAAATCTATTTGTTCTACAGAATATCATAAAATACTTGTAATTAAAGAATTCTCAAATCGTTTGATACAAGTCTGTGACAACTGGATTCTCGATCTCAACCAAGGAATTTGGCAAATCTATTTTATTAATGAATAATTAATCTACTGTTGACTGAAGTATCCAAATGTTCCTAGCTTATTGTCATATGGCGGGATACGTATTGACGTTCGAATTTTTTAAATATTTTTTTATATTTTGACACTTCATTATTGATGGTTTTTAAATTTTTATTGTATCCGTTATTTTTTATTCGTTAATTTAAGATTATATCTCTGCGTTGTCAAAGCATTGAAGAAGGCTTTGTAAGCCGAAACGTTTGTTATTTATTATATTAATATTAATTATATTAATAAATTATATAAATTTAAAGTTAATTTAATTATAGCTCGAAATAAGCCATGACATTGTGTTTTTAAGAAAATATACGAACATTTTTTATTTCATTAATTTTTTTTACTCACAACAATATCTGATGATTTCTTTAATGTAAAAGTAATTTTATCAGTTTAATTTACCCTTTTATTACTTAATTTATACCGAGCATTCGATATATATTAACTTTTTATTAAATTATCCTAATTTCAGCAATGTATTTAAAGAATAACGTACTAAAAATTGGTATAATATGCATCCAAATGATTAATTAAACACACACATCATGTATACGTTGCATCCTCAATTTTTAAAAAAATCAAATCACATTTATTATTATTAGGATCACATCAAAGTTTGTATTCAAATTGTCAGTTTAATCAACGAGTTAATAATTACAATTGAATAGTTGTTTTTTGAAACACTGGCGTGTTGCAATTTAACAGTTTCGGTTTATCCACTGAAATTTTCGCTTAATTTTAGCTAAAACCGAAATCAAATCGAAACCCTGATTTTTTATCGAAATCGAAATCGAAATGTTGGTCGGACTCTACATATCGTCGAAATTAAAATAATTCATTAGAAAGAAAGTCATCAATATATATAGTACCCGTATCAAGTGTACGATATCAAATTATATTTTTCTAAGTTTAAAAATAAAAAGACTAATTATCATAAAAATAAAAAAATTTAATATTTTATCAGTATAAAGGATACAATATTATTAAAGTCAAAACTTTCAGAATTTTATCTTTTATACAAAAAATATATAGGCCATTCCACAATTTGTGAAATCTAGGCGCTTTTGTGTGAATAGAGTGGACTAAACTGTATCAAAAAGTTCTCTACTATTTTGCAATTTTTAACGCAATGATTAACATATTAATTATTAAAAATTGCCGAATGTTGATCTTCAATAATTTTTTTTATCCAAATACTATCAACTTTACAGGAAAACATCAAGAGACAAAAACTGTTTATTTTCTTCTCATAGAGCTCTAAGAATTTTTTCAGATTTTTTAATCAACTTTTTACTGCATTTTCTTATTGGCAATTATTTTTAGCAATATGAGAAAATGCGATATTAAAAAATTCTCAGATCTTTATGGAAAAAAAAATAATTTTTATCATTTAGCTATTTTTCGGTAAAATTAATAGTATTTAAATAAAAAAATATTGAAAATCAATATTTGATGATTTTTAGTAATTAATATCTTGTTAATCATTGTGAAAATTGTAAAATGATAGAAAACTTCAGTTAATAGAGAAAAAGATCGAATTTTTTTTAAATTTTTGCTAGTAGATATTTTTCTTCATAGGCTATTATATGCGGTTTATGATTTCATAATTCATTATAAATTTATCTTAAAAATGAAATTAAGTCTCGCTCCGATTCGTCGTCCAATGAATAAACAGAACAATTAAAAGAAGAGAGATGGATACGTTTGAAATAGTCATGTAAATCGTAACTTTATATTATGTTCTATTTATAGTATAAACTTATAATATAAACTTATAATATAAAATTGTCGATCTTATATAGTGTCATATTATACTTATATAAAATTATATACCATAAATTATACAAAATGTTTCTAATTAATTGTATTTCTTTCTTTTCTTTATTTCTATTTTTATTTTTTTATAATGTAATCTATTTTCTTAAGAAGATAAACAGAAAGAGAAGATGATAAATTGAAAGTAACATATAGCAAGATTAGAAATTTAAAAATGAGATAAGTATTAGTCGTTATCCAGCAATTTGATGATATTTGACATCAAAATGACATCTTTAATGTCACTTGTTTGATACTTTCGATATGTTTACATAAAAAAATGAAGGTTTAATGATGAAATTAAGTTTTGCTCTCGTCCGACTGATAAGTAAAAAAAATTAGAACGAAGATAAATAATAAAATTAGAATAAAAAAGATACTTGATAGTTTAAGAAATCGAGTGTTGATTGCACCATAACCGAAAGTGTGTCTTGATCGAAAGTATTCCGAAATCACGCGGTTATCTTACGGTCGCAAAGGAGACGCTGTTACGTACGATTTCGTGAAATGGCCTTTACAATATCGAATTAAGTTCAACGGTAGGATAAAGATACACACATTGTTCTTGATCTATAT